TCATCGCTCAGCGATTTTGTTATGTATGCCACTTTCAGAACTTTCTTCAAGCAGTACTATTAAATCGAACCCCTTTCATTTGACCGATTATGTATACCCTACCAACTCCCCTTGCTACAAAAGTACGACGCACCTGCCCGAAAGATGGTCAGGAATGATCAGGGCGCATTGTGCGTTGGGGATCGGGGAAACAGCGAAGGTAGTGGGGTCGTATTTTGTCGCAGAATGGAGGGGAGTCATATTTGCCTTTGTGAAATATATACCATTTTCACTTTAAATTCACCCCTTTTCAAACCAAATTCACCCACCTTCCAAATCGAATTCACCACACTTATTAGGCTGCGCAAGTCATCTACCAAATCACGCCAGACACTACTGCGGGCCCCGCCCCTCGGCCACGCCCACTTGCTTTTTGCGGAATTTTGATATTTTTTCAAAATTTTTGCATTTTTCCGTGAAGCCCCGCACACTTTTCAAAAATGGTGCAAGTCGGCAGTATGGAGCCTTGGCTTTCATGCTAGGAACAAGAAAATCACTCGGAACAAGAAAATCAGGCAAAGTTCGTTCGAACGAGACCCTAGCATGAAAGCCAAGGCTCTATACTGCCGATTTGAACCATTTTTGAAAGGTGGGCGAGGCTTCTACAAAGTGGGCGGAGCCTCTCACAGTGGGCGGGGCTTCACGCAGCAGTCCAAAATGCAAAACGAAGAAAAAACGAAAACGTGGTCGAATTTGGGTTTGAAAACGGGTGAATTGGTTGAAAAAGGCGTAAATTTGAAGTGAAAATCTATATATTCTCGCCGTTGATTTTCCTCGACTTTCCCACGTTCCATGTTTGCTATGCATCCTCGCTCGACTTGGGGAGAAACTGGAGAATTTTCGGTAAAACTAAAGAAAGTAAAGAAAAGAGAAATTCAGGGGGATGGTAGAAAGGATAAGGGATGGGGAGGAGTCATGGTCTAACCAGAAGGAGCTTCTGATTGTGAGGAGCACTAGGGTTGTGCAGATCTTTCCCATGGAAAGTGCCTTCATGATTAAGCACCCTGACCACAATTGGCGTACATTCCGCCACCAGCTGTACCTCCTTCTTGTCAGATTAAGTGTTGAGTAGACAATTCATCCTTTTCACTGAACGTTTGCAGCCTTGGTAACAACTCTGTGGCTTTGGTATTTACTGGAGATCTCAGAGCACCCAGACATTTTCGAAGAATTCTCCTGGTTGGATGGAATAACGAGACAAATGTCGTCGTCAACGCAACTATTGAACGGTAAGTGAATTGTAGCGAAGAAGGGGAACTGTTCTTACTGGCAATATGCCAAGCTTTTATCATCCTCTGATATAACGGAAGAGTAAACCTTTTCGTAGCAGAATCCATGCAGTCCGTATCTGAGAGCAAAAAAAGAGGGTGGGGAAGAGGCGAGTTCTTAAATAAGAGGTCACTTATTCAAAAGTGTACAGACAATTGGAGTATCGGCGACAAAAGAGCTACGGCCGAGGGTACAGAATCCGTGGGAGAGTTCCCATGGGATCATATTCCTGGAAGTGGGGGGGGGGTATGCGGGGGAATTCGTAGGGTCATGCATAGTCGGTGAGGGAGGGGTCACGAGAAATTCTTGCGAGGCGGGAGGGGAGTTTTCTGATTGCGGATTTGCTCTCCCATTACAGTTCTGCTTTCCCAACCCTCCCTCACCCCAGTAATTCAGCTCGACGCCAGTTTTCAAGAAAATTAAAATCCCTGGAAATTGGCACGGAGGTGGAAGAACTTGGTAAGGTGGCAGGAAGGCTGTCACAGAGGGATCTTATTGGAACCCGATGTCGTACCCTGGAAAACCCCGCCGAGCCCCGGGCCACCTTTGTACCAAACCCAATAGGAAAGTGGGTGCAGTGCGGGAAATCCACGTCCAGGCCCCGCTTAGAAACTAGCAGTTCAGATCAGTGAAGTCCTGGTGTAACTGCCGCGCACGTGACAGCACTTGCAGCACCTCCAACTCCCTTGAACAATTTTGTGAGATAGAGAATCAGAGCTTATCTCTTTCTTCGATCCCCCCCCCACTACCAGTACTCAGAAACTGGGCACTATTTACCCTTCCCCACTCATCCGAAAAGCAGGTCAGCTCCTAACCGACTTTTTTCTCCGTGGGCAGATTTTGCTCAAATGTTGTCTCCTGGGGTAGTTTGACTTCCAGCATACGAATTATATCACATTCGCTCAGCCCGAAACTTCTGGCGCGCCGCCACAGGCGCCAATGATTTGGGGTATTTTGGCGCCGGTGCCCGTGCGGGCGCCAGGAGGTTTCGGGTTGAGCGGATGTGATATTCGTGTTCAGGGGGTCAAACTACCCCTGGGAGCAAGTTTTCAGCGAATTTGGTGATTTCGAGTATTTTGGCGCCGGCGCCCGTGGCGCGGGCGCCAGGAGGTTTTGGGTCAAGCGGATGCGATATTCGTGTTCAGCGGGTCGAACCCCTGGAGCCAAGTTTTCAGCAAATTCTGCCCACGGAGAAAAAAGTCGGTCAGGAACTGGCCTGATTTCGGATGGCTGGGGCAGTAAAGGGTAAATAGTGCCAGAAATTGAAAGTCAGTACCAAGTAAAAGCTTTTCTAGTTTTCTTCCTTGTGCTGAGAGCTTAGGGCTTACTTTTCTCCATCTTTGTTGTTCCAGGCATGCTCCTTGATTTAGGATAACTCCACATAATGTTTGTCGATGGATTTCAATATTTTCCACTTCGATTATGTTGCCCAACATGGAACGACTCGCTATATCCGCAGGAAACAAGCTGGTTGAGGTAAAGCGCTTGCAGACTACACAAGTATTGGGTTGGCACATAAGTACTTTCGTTTTTTTCAACCGGAAATTTCGTTCCAAAGATGAAATGTTTTGCTAGCAAGCTTGATATCATCTGATAGGAAACTTCACGTAGTTTTAGAATATCAAAACGGCTTTGGTTGAGGGAATAATTTTTGTGGATTTTTTAGTCGTTGAAGTTGAAAGCGAAGTCGGCGAAAATTAGCACCTTCGACAACTGCCTCTATTTACGTATAGTCGAAGTGCTAAAATCGCTTAAGCTGCTCCATACATTTGGAAAAGGTCGAGCTAGAAGTTCCAGCAAGGGAATCTCACTAGGACGCTTTGGAACGAATTTCAAGAATTTTGAAGTTACCAACCTTCACCTCGCCGATATTGGGCAGCTCACGTCTGTTCCACCTGAAATTTTATGCTAATATTTGAATGTTTCGCTGATATGTTTTGCATGTTCTGATAGCAAATTTCGTGCTCTATAACACTGCTATAGAAATCTGTTCTCCAGAGGTGTTTGCTTTCTGTTAAGTTCAGGTTATCATTACGGAACGCGAAGTCGTTGAGAACTAGCGTTCCCGTTCTCCACGAATTTTATGCTAACATTTGAATGTTTCGCTAATGTGTTCTATATGTTTCTGATAGCCAATTTCGTGCTCTATAACACCGCGTTGTTATTTTGAAAATCCGTTAGGTGAACCTTTTTTCAGGTGGATAATATGGAATGTCAGGTCGATAAGCATCAGCACTTCAGACATCTCCTCCTTTTCGCATTCAACAGAGGTATCAGAGCTGCTGATGCTGCTCGGGAAATTCGCGAAGTGTACGGAGAAGCCCAAAATTGGTTCAGACGCTTCAAGAATGGTACTGATACCTCTGTTGAATGCGAAAAGGAGGAGATGTCTGAAGTGCTGATGCTTATCGACCTGACATTCCATATTATCCACCTGAAAAACAAGGTTCATCAAACGGATTTTCAAAAACTGCAACGCAGTGTTATAGAGCACGAAATTGGCTATCAGAACATATAGAACACATTAGCGAAACATTCAAATGTTAGCATAAAATTCGTGGAGAACGGGAACGCTAGTTCTCAACGACTTCGCGTTCCGTAATGATAACCTGAACTTAACAGAAAGCAAACACCTCTGGAGAACAGATTTCTATAGCAGTGTTATAGAGCACGAAATTTGCTATCAGAACATGCAAAACATATCAGCGAAACATTCAAATATTAGCATAAAATTTCAGGTGGAACAGACGTGAGCTGCCCAATATCGGCGAGGTGAAGGTTGGTAACTTCAAAATTCTTGAAATTCGTTCCAAAGCGTCCTAGTGAGATTCCCTTGCTGGAACTTCTAGCTCGACCTTTTCCAAATGTATGGAGCAGCTTAAGCGATTTTAGCACTTCGACTATACGTAAATAGAGGCAGTTGTCGAAGGTGCTAATTTTCGCCGACTTCGCTTTCAACTTCAACGACTAAAAAATCCACAAAAATTATTCCCTCAACCAAAGCCGTTTTGATATTCTAAAACTACGTGAAGTTTCCTATCAGATGATATCAAGCTTGCTAGCAAAACATTTCATCTTTGGAACGAAATTTCCGGTTGAAAAAAAACGAAAGTACTTATGTGCCAACCCAATATTAAGCCGAGCTCCATACAGTGTTACTAATACGTATGTAAGGTATCGTCTTTCTGGCCGGCTATTACCGCTAATTTGAACGCCACCAACATTTTGCTTCAGAGGACGTGTAAAAGCATTTGGTGTAGCCGTTGAGCATGATTGCGAAGATGGGATTCTTTTCCCGTAAGAGCGTAAATCTGCGTTTGTAACTAGGACCTTAAACTCTTCCTCGTAAGAGGTTCGTAACTCGAAAATGACGCTGACACTTCCAGTCGTTTTCACTGCAGATGGTAGGGCGTGTAAAGAGGGGGGGGGAGGGGCAGGTTTGACGCAACCGTTCTCATCTCTTCATTCGTCGTTCTTCATCACGTTGAACGTGTGAGTGCTCGAAGGCAATGGCACAAATAGCCATTGAGCTGAGAGGTCAAAAGTGGCCCCGGTAGCGTAAGTGGTAACGCAACTGCCCGGTAAGCAGAAGATGCGGGTTCGAGTCCCGCCCGTGGTCCGACTTTTGCCCACAACTCAGCATTCTTGTGATAACTTTCGTATCGCGCACTGCGGCGTAAAACAGCAGTTATCAAACAAAAACAGTCTAATAATAGTGATTGTTTCGAGCGCTAAACTTGGGAGAAGGCATTCTAAGAACTTCTCCAGAGCTAGAATAACCACAACTGAGATAAGGTGCTCTACCTGAGCCTGAAGTGGGAGGACTGAGAGGACTCTGGGGTGGATGAACCACTTCCAAGTACGGTGATTCCAACAGGATGACGAATGATAATTTTTCACAAGGAGTCCTTTAAGTAATCGCTTCAAGGTCACTAAAACCTGTCACTAAAACCTTGTTTTGGTCGAAAAAGTCGTGGCTCCAACAAGCGTGTAATGGTGTAAAAAGGGAGCCAACGCCAAAATACAGGACGTGATCAGAGCCTAAGTTACCCCAAAGCAAAAATACCTGCTCTTTTTCGTCCTTACAATCAACTTTCCTTTGCAGATTCCATTCCGTGAGCCATCGGTGAAGAAGCATAGTGTGGTAACCTGCATTGCTCCGCTGTTTGGCAATGAGCAATGGCAACAGGCACTCTTCGCAGCTCATATTTACAAAAAGTGAGTAACATTGTGAAACTGTCGAAATAAGCTCTCCAAAAACGCCCTGCAGCTCTGATTTTACTGTTTGGGTTCCACAGTGTCTTCTGAGACAGTAAGTGGAATGCTCTTAACTAACCAAAACACATTTTCCCCCTAAACTACCTATTATATTCTTTACATACCTCATGGTCATCATGGTTAGTGGCTTCCGGGCTTGATTCTTCGGTATCATCTCTACTCAGAGGCACATTTCGCCTGAGGAGGATCAGTGGAGGAGAATGAATGGTTAACGGGGTTCCCTGATTATTATACCTGCTTCGTTAGTGCACCGCTCCTTTCAAAGCAGATGATTACGGGCGGTCGTCAAAGAGCAGCAGACGCGGCTGCAGGAGCGACCGCGTACGTAGGAATTACACTCCTATCCCTGAGACAGAGTAGGCGTGGCATTTGGACGTAGTATAGGATGGATTAATCGCGGGACAATTCAGCTTGAGACTACTGTCGTCGTGTTTTGAGTCGGACAAAGGCATGATACAATTGTTCCGAAGGAAAAATATCTCACCAGAAGCGCAGTCACCGCCACGTTCAGTCGACGTGCGCAGCCACGCCTACCGCATCTCAGGGATTTCGAGTGTATGTATGTGCGGCGATCACCCGCTTCCGGCCTGTTTTAGTCGTTTTTTCCCTACTTTCTGGCTGCTTTTACCAAGGTTAGCTGTTTCTTGTCTTCACAAGATAAATTATGATTGAGATTTTTCTAACTTTTGCGAACAATTAAACGATTAAACAAACAATTAAACAAATACCTAAAAAAATCGCGAAAAACACCCCATTACAAGAACAAAAAAAAAATTCACGTCTTGATATACTTCATATAGACAATAACGCAATTTACCTTGAAAAAAAAGAAAATACAGTGAAAACTAGGGAGAAAATTGCTAAATTAGGCTGGAAACAGCTGATCGCCGCGATCGTGACGCGCTGCAGCACCGTCGCGCAGGGTACAGCATGGGGATGTGCGAAATGGCGGTGTGAGTACGACCCCCCCCCTCGAAGAGGGTCCAGTTACGACCCCCCCCCTCCTGCTCTAACTGACAACCAGATGCATGTTCACACCAAATGGCTTCCTGAAATGGAATCTGGATTTCGAAAGGCGGACTCTGCTCTAAAATCCAGGCAATAAAGGCTGTTTCATGCAATATGAGGCTGAACAACAGCCTCGCATTACCTACAATTTTGTCTTAGGATTCAAAATAAAACTCGTCGTTCGACAACCATGTATGACATGCAACTTGTAACAAGGAACACAATCGAAACAGCGACTAATGGTGATCATTGATAAGCTAAATTGGTGAAAAAATAGCCCCAAGGTCAGCGTGTCAGGCCCCAGATGTGCATTCAATGAATGGTGACGGGGAAATCATGAACATGCACGACACAACAAAGCGAAACATGAAAAATACAAAAAAATGCGGAGCCAAATGAAAAAATGGATAACCAGGCGGCAGTATATCGTTCTATACTTGGCTATTATCGATCGCAACGTTGCGACCGCTTTCATTGGAAAAACGTCATTGGAGCGCGGTTGTTGGACCTGCCAACGTCCTGGGGTCTTTGGGGTTATATCTCTTTTAGGTGCGGGGCTTTTGAGGAATGGTTAGCAGCATGCTATGGAAAAGTTACTACTGTTGCGTTTTCTACCTAGTTGCAATCTGAATGTTCCCCCGTTGGTGAAATATTCCGGATGGGTTTCGGATCGGCTAGGGGTAAATCGCAAGCGGGTTTTATGCTTCACACGAGGATTACTTATTTCGAACGCAATTTCATCAGGAT